GAACAGCGCCCCTGACCCAGCATCCAGGCCCGCAGCTCCAGGACCCCCAGCACGAAGAGCCCAGGCCGGCTGCACTGCAGGGGAGTCCCTTGACTGCTCAGGAGCTGAGCCTCTTGGGTCCAGCTTGAGATCCCAAGCTGGGAGCATCTGTCCTAGAATCTCCATGCACTCAGAGACTCCGGCCCAGGGTTGTGTGGCAAGTCCCGGGACCCAGTGCCCAGGGTCGGGGCTGTGGGCTTGGAGAGGGAGACGGGAACAGCGTGCTGCGAACGCACCCAGAGCCTACTCCCAGCCAGCGTCTGGCCCTTTCCGCCTCGGCCGGCCGTCTCCCCTGGCCTGGGCTGCAGGCTCCTCCGCCCTCCCTGCTCTCCCGTCCAGAGCCCTGCTGATGGGGAAGTCCGAGAGCCCCCTGGGGATGGTGGAGAGCGCCGACCGAGCGCGGCAGAGGCGCCCGGGCTTCCTGGAGGGGGGGCTGCTGCTGCTGCTGGTGACCGCTGCCCTGGTGGCTTTGGGCGTCCTCTACGCAGACCGCAGAGGTGAGTGCGGGTGCCGCCCCCCGCCCGTGTCCGCGCCGGCTCTTCGCGCTTGCCCCGCTGCACCTGCTGCCGGGTCCGCCTGTCCCCGCCGGAGCCCGCCCGTCAGGTCTGCGCGGGGCACCCAGAGACTCCCGGGCCGAGCTGCCGACTCGGAGGCGGCGGGACGGGCACTGACCTGCGGGGAGCCCGAAGCCCCCTCCGGAAAGCTCTGCCCCCGCTCGGACTGGCGCGCTCTGCTTCTGCGGCTCCGCCTCCGCCTCCACCTAGCGGAACTCCCGGGAGGGCGCAGACCCGGCCCCCGCCCCTCCGCCCGCCCCCTCCCCGCCTCCCACCCCGGAGCCTAGCGGCGCAGCCTCCTGTCCCTTCCGCCGGCCGGACGCACCTGGCGTCTCCCTCCCCGCTGCCATCCTGCGGAGAGATCCGAGGGGCCTCCCGCCGCCGCCCCGCTCAAGGCTGGGTCAGGTCAGAGGAGGGGCCGGGCTGGGGTCCCATGGAGACAGAGGCGTGGCCAGGGCTGCACGAGGGGACCTCGGGCAGTCCCAGGAACGACGACCCCCCACTCCTCCCTCGCTCTCCCTTCTCGGGTGAGGGGCTCCCAGGCACCCGCAGACCTGGCCACCTTCCAGCCGCCCCGGCCAGCCCCTCCGCAGGCCCAGCCCTAGTCCCTTGGAGCCTGGGCAGCGCGCGCATCTGGGGCAACGCTCACCCCCGGGGCAGGTGCAGGGTGCTCCAACCCGGGCAGGCAGGGGACTCAGAGCTCACGGGGGACCGCGCACCCCCAGATCTCACAACAGGGAGCCCAGCCTGTGTGACTAGAACGCCCCTCATGTCGGGAGCCCTCCGCAAGGCCTGGACCGCCCATCCATCCCCGAGGGAGGCTGCCTCTGTGGAGCAGAAGTGGGTGCTGCGGTGGATGTGGAGGGGTCCCCGCCCGGGGCTGCCTGTCGGGGCCCGTGTGCAGTGTGGCTGCTGCCCAGGCCGCGGTCCCTGGCCCTCCAGGGTCTCCACCTGGGAGAGAGGGGGGCCCTGCTAATAGGCGGTGGGCAATGGGGGAGGGAAAAGCTGGCTCACCCTGAGGAGCCCAGAACCCAGGGAAGCCCCGTTCAGAGCCTACTGGGCTCAAAACACCTGCTTTCCAGGCTTTCATAAAACAGAGCTTGACCCCCCCCATCACACACCCCCCCAGCTGTGGGCTAGGAGGGAGTCCCTCTCTTCTTCTGGGCCATGCCAAGAGGCCTGAGCCCACCCCTCCTGGAGAGACCTTCCCTCCCTGCCTAGCCGGGAGTGCCTGGGAGTGCCCCTTGGTGCCATGGAGCTCAGCAAAGTCTGCCTCCGCCCACTCCAAAGCTGAAACCGGCCATCGACCCCCTCCCTCCAGGGCGGCAGAGTCCTCTGTCCCCGTCAAGACCCCTGTGCCCCCCACCAGGAATGACCCCACAGCTGGGGATTATTTGTGGAAGGTTTTCTAAGCAGTTATTATCATTCATTTCTACGTGTTTTCTCATCCCATTAAGACTTCTTCGTTGACTTGTAAGTCATTTAGAAATTTTAAATCTTGAGACGTGAGTTTTTAGTTACCTTTTAAAATTCTTGATTCCTAACTTAATTGTGTTGTCAGAAACCATGGTCTGCGCCATTATTTATGTGGTTCTTTGATATTTGCTGGGCTTGCTTTGGAGCTAACACTTGATCAATTTTATAAAGAAGCCTGTGCTGCGGAACAGGCCCCATCACTAAATGCCGGCTGGCAGTGCCTGCATACGCCACTGGCTCAGTCAAGGCTTCTATGTATTTGCCTTTTTTTCCGTCTCTTGATTTAAAAAGAATGAAAGACTTTGAAATCAAGAGAATGATTTCCTGAAATAATGTATTGACGTGTACATGTTAAAATCTTGCACTAAAGAATCACCCATTCTGGTAGTTATATCAAATCTTAACTAATTTACCTATTTAAGGCTGTATTGCTATGTGAATGCAAATTTAGGTATGAATTATAAAATTAGCTTCATCCATGTAACAAATATTCTATTTAGATGCACATACGAAGTTAATAAGCCTTTCGCCGCATGCAATCGTGCAGTCACCATTTCTGTTTTAACAAGGCTTTTTGCCTTAAATTCTGCTGAGTCTGTCGTGCGTACTGGCTGCTCATCAGCATTTGCTTTGTCTATTTTTCCCATTCTTTTTCTCTGAAACATTTCTTGTCCTTAGCGTTAGACGTGGTGCTTGCAGTGGCAAATGGCTGGATTTGGGGCTTGTCTTTTAGTCGGAGGACTTCCCAGCTGACTAAGACGTCTGCTGTGTTCTTTTGTGCTCCTCATGCTTTTCTTCCCTTTTCTCGCCTTATTTGGGATCAGCCTATCATTATGTCCTCTATTTTCCCTCAACTAACTTAGAAGATTTTTATTTCTACCTTTTTGACAGTTATCTTAGATTTTTTTGTTTTAGTTATTTATTTTTAAAGTCATAGATAAACTTTCTTTCATAAAATGAATGTTTTTACAAAAACGACAGTGAGAAATACAGTCTCATGTCCATCCCAGAATTCTACTCCTCCGAAGCAACTGTTTTCATTTTCTAGTACAGCGGTGGCGAATTATGGCCCCTGGGCCAAATCTGGCCCCTTGCTTGTTTTTGTAGATAAAGCTTTATTGGAACACAGCCACACTCATTCATTTATGTACAATCTATGACTACTTTCCTTCTAGAACAGCAAAGTGGATCAGGTGAGATGGAGCATGCATGTGGCCCTCAAAGCCTCAAATATTTACATCTGGCCCTTTACAAAAAGTCCAACCCCCAGACCGGAGTACCCGTCATGTGTCTAAACCTCGTCTGTGAACACTTCTTTTTATCATACAGTTTAGATCATGAGGAAGCATTACCAGATTGTGGTTAACACCCAGGCTCATAGTTTTTGACCCCTCAGAGAGGTCCATCCACATACCTCTTCCCCATATGTCTTTGTCACCAATTTTCCAATCATACTTCTTCCAAGTCCCGGACCATCCAGCCAAACCATTGGCTCCAGCCCATGCATCAGTGTGTGATCGCACACCCGGCCACTTCTCCTTCCACGCAGCCCAGGCATCAGCGTGTGATCGCACACCCGGCCACTTCTCCTTCCACGCAGCCCAGGCATCAGCGTGTGATCGCACACCCGGCCACTTCTCCTTCCACGCAGCCCAGGCATCAGCGTGTGATCGCACACCCGGCCACTTCTCCTTCCACGCAGCCCAGGCATCAGCGTGTGATCGCACACCTGGCCACTTCTCCTTCCAAGCAACGTGCACAACCAGGTGCCCTGCTCAACGTTCTGCCCACTGGGAAGATTTCCCTTCACTGCTGTCCTTCAGGGATGTCCCAGAAAGGGGCTGTGGTGCCGCAGCTGTCCACTTTCGGGCGGTGCCTGCATGTCATGCAGAACCATCTGTGAACCAGGTCCTCATCTCTCTTCCTCTGTCAACTGATCATAGGGAATGCCTCATGAGGCCATCGGTGCAGGCTGCGGGAGAGAAGGCAGGTGGCAGGAGTGGAGACCATGGGCATTTTTGAGCCACTTCCTCATGTAACTGACTTGTACCTTCACGACCTGCTCAAACCTGATCACCTGTACACCACTTACCTGTGATGGTGGAACACGGCTGTGCACAACCCACTCTATGGCTTTCTGTGGTCAGAAAGCAACCAGTTTATGGCTGACTTGATTCTATGGTCACACGGTGACTTGATTCTATGGCTACGTAGTCAGAAAGCACACAATTCATGGCAGGCAGTTCAGGTCACATGGTGACTTGATGACTCAGAGTCAGACGTTCTGTTTCCACCAAAGCCCAGTAACAGGCCAAGAGCTGCCTCTCAAAAAGGGAGTAGTCATCTGCAGAAGACACTGGGGCCTTGCTCCAAAATCCTAGAGGCCTCTGCTGTGATTTACCTCCGGGGGCCACCAAAGGCTCCACACAGCATCCCTGTCTGCTGCTGACACCTCAGGCACCACTGGATCTGCTGGGTCATGTGCCCAGGTGGCAGAGCAGCTGGCACAGCAGCCTGCACCTGCTGCACAGCCTCTGTCCTGGACCCCACTCAGAGCTAGCAGCCTTTTTGGTCACTGGATAAATGGGCCGGAGTAACACACCCAAGGGAGGAATGTGTTGCCTCCAAAATCCAAATAGGCCCATCAGGCCTGAGATACCTAGTCTCAGATGAGACTCTGGACTTGGAACTTTGAGTTAGTGCTGAAAGGAGTGAAGCCTTTGGGGGGCTGTTGGGAAGGCACAATTGGTCTCTCAATGTGAGGAGGACGTGAGGTTTGGGAGGGGCCGGGGCGGAATGATGGGTACAACTCTGCGTCACCACCCACATATCCTGTCCGTCTGTAATCCCCATGTGCCACGGGAGAGGCCAGGTGGGAGGTGCTGGATTGTGGGGTGGACTTCCCTCTTGCCACTCCCGTGATAGTCAGTTCTCACACGATGCGGTTGTGTGAAAGTGAGCAGCACCTCCTCCTTTGTGTGTCTCCCCCAACTCCACCATGGCGAGATGCGCTTGCATCCCCTTTGCCTTCTGCTGTGACTGTAAGCTTCCTGAGGACTCAGCCACGCTTCCAGCACAGGCTGAGGAGCTGTGAGTCGGTGAAACCCCTTTTCTTATCAATTACACAGTCTCAGTAGTTCCTTATAGCAGTGGGAGGACGGACGCCTGCAAACAGAGACGGAGACAAGCGGTGTTTGCACTGGGCCTGGGGCTCGCTGGTAAGAACTGGGGCCCTGGCTGTCATTGTTCACACTGCGTTATCAGCAGGATCACCCCAATACAGCTGGGGGAGGCGCGGAGACACTTCTCTGCAGACTTTGGTATTTGTCAAAACCTAAAATAGGTTGACCAAGTCAACAGGAGTTTCATGAAGTGTTTAAACGTTTACATTTGGCGTATGGGGCTTTTTAAAATGGTAGAGGCAGGAGGGTTTCCTAATACACAGAGTTAGGCGCCCCTCCTCTTCCGTCAGCGCCTGAGTGTGAGGGATTGAATTCCCCTCAGTAGGGTTATGCTGGGGGTTCTTTTGCTGTTGTTACTCTCAGCACAGACGCACGTTTCTGCAGCAGTGAGCTCCTGTTCCCTGTGCTTAGAGAAGTCAGCCTAGGGACCAGATGGTTCTCTCCTCCTCCCTGCCCCAGCCTTGGCCCTCGGCAGCCTGGATGCCAGTGACACACAGGCACTGTGTCATACCCGGGTCCCTCTGCCAGTGTGGGTCGCTGTTGCTGTTCCTGGCCAGCACTAGCTCGTGCTGGAGGTGGGGGCTCTCTGGTGCCCTGGCCCAGTCTCAGGCTTAGGCAGGCCTGGGGCACCTGGGGGGGGGAATCCCCCTCTTGGCATCCCTACCCCACTCCCATGTCAACCAAGCTTCCCCCTGTCCCTGAGGTGTCCACCTCTCCCTCTGACTGCAGAGGCCACGGCTTGATGACAGTCTAGGATTCTGGGCCCACAGGATTTCCTGGCCTTCCACAGGCAGAGGTTTTACTCCTGACCCTCCTACAGAGCAGGTGATTTGCCTGGTCCCCGGGGGTGAGAGGGGTTCCACCTACCTCAGTGGTTTAAAGCTTTTGCTCCCTCCCAGGTGTGCGTAGTTTCATGCCTTAGCCAAAGCAGGTCCCTGCCTGCATCCCTAAGCCACCAAGGGAGGCTCTCCCTAGCCTTCTGAGTCCCGCCCCAGGCTCTCTCACAGGCGCCTGGGAAGCGCCATGGACAGAGCTTGGGGTGAGTGAAAAACTCTCCATGGTGAGAGCTCCCGGCTACTCCAGACTCATGTGCCAGCCGCACTTGGCCTGTAGAATGTGTGAGCAGTTTTAGCCGCTTCTTCTGCCTCGCTTGGCACATCTCACGCTCAGGTCTTGGCCAAGGTGAAACAACTGGCGGCCCCGCCTTTCCTCAGAGGGCTTGTCACTCTGAAATTCCATTTACCTTATTGTCTTTGACCTCAGGTCTTGGATGGGCTCCAAAATGGTGTGCTTTTTGCAGATTATTTGGCTTCTTCTTGTTAGGAAGGAAATGATACTCAGTTGTAGCTTTTGATGTCCTAGGCGAAAAGTAGAATCTCTCCCGTCAATTTTTATGGGCATATTTATCTTGAATATTAAACTCATCAATATCTCCATTATTTCTTCCAAACAATGCAAGCATTTAGAACAGTTTAACTCTTCACACTACTACCCCATCCTGTTCATGTATTATTCTGTTAAGAACTTGGTTTCTTTTTCTTTTTTTTTTTTTGAGACAGAGTCTCGCTCTTTCACCCAGGCTGGAGTGAAGTGACACAATCTCGGCTCACCACAACCTCCACCTCCCGGATTCAAGCGATTCTCCTGCCTCAGCCTCCTGAGTAGCTGTGATTACAGGCGCCCACCATGCCCAGCTAATTTTTGTATTTTTAGTAGAGACGGGGTTTCACCATGTTGGTCAGGCCAGTCTCAAACTCCTGACCTCAGGTGATCCATCCACCTTGGCTTCCCAAAGTGCTGGGATTGCAGACGTGAGCCACCGCGCCTGGCCAGGAACTTGGTTTCTAGCTTGCTTTTTACCTACTGCATATCAGCCACGTTATTATTTAATACACTCAGTGTTAAGTCAGATATCACCATATTCTCATGAATTCCATTATGCATCTTTCCTCTTACCTCTTGGGCAGTTCTTATTAAATAGTTTTTCTTCTTTCTGAAACACATACTTTGGAGTCTCGTACTCAAAGTGCGGTCCACAGACCAGTGGTGTCAGCCATCGCCTGGAAGCTTGTTAGAAATTCAGAAACTCAAGGCCCAGCCAGGACTGTAGGACCAGCGTCGGAGTTTAGCAACCCCAGGTGATTCATCTGCACATGAGTGTTTGGGAAGCACTGGTCTAAAACAAGGTTGACCAAATTTGCTTGATAATTGCAATAACCTGGGGAAATTGTTACAAATCCAGATGTTGGGTCCTGCCTCAGTTTGCCTGGGCTACAGTCACAAAATGCTTAGGTGGCTTTAATACAGAAATGTATTTTCTCACAATTCTGGAGGCTGTGAAGTCCAAGTCTAGATGCCAACTGAATAAGACCCTCTTGTCAACAAAAACAGTCAAACTCTGTAAAATATTTGAAGAGATTTATTCTGAGCCAAATAGCATGGCTCTCGACATAGCCCTGGGAGACCCTGAGAACACGTACCCTAGGTGGTTAGATGACAGTTTGGTTTTATACACTTGAGGGAGATCTAAGACATCAATCAATATGTGTAAGATGGACACTGGTTCGTCTGGAAAGGTGGGAGAACTCCAGGTAGGGGTTTCCAGGGCACAGGTAGATTCCAAGGCTTTCTGGTTGCAGCTGGCTAGAGAGTTTACCCGAAGACTTGGAACCAATTGAAGGGAATGTCTGGGTTAAAACAAGGGATTGTGGAGCCCACAGTCCTTATTATTCAGGTGAAATTCCCAGGTGCAGGCTTCAGAGAAAGTAGTCTGTGGTTCTTATCAGACTTCGTCATAAGACTCTCAGGCCTAAGGTCTCTGGTTTCATTTGCTTTTGAGACAGGGTCTCACTCTGTCACTCAGGCTGGAGTGCAGTGGTGCAATCACGGTTCACTGCAGCCTTGACCTCCTGAGCTCAAGTGATCCTCCCATCTCAGCTGCCCATGCAGCTGGGGCCACAGGCATGCACCACCACACCTGGCTACTTTTTTCTATTTTTTGTAGAGCTGCATCTCACTGTGTTGCCCAGGCTGGTCTCGAACTCCTGGGCTCAAGCAGTCCTCCCACCTCAGCCTCCCAAACTGCTGGGATCATAGGTGTGAGCCATTGTGCCTGGCAAGTGTCTGTTTTAAGGTGAATGCTGGTCAACTGTCCCTGAATTCCAAAGGGAGGGGCCATAAGGAGCCCCCACTTCCCATTATAGCCTGAATTAGTTTTTCAGGTTAACTTTGGAATGCCAAAGTAATGGAGGGGAGGCTCCATCAGCCACTTGGGAGGTATAGTTTATTTCTGGTTTACACTCTCTTCCCACAGGCCCCACACTTCTTTAAATTTTATTTTGTTGTTTAAAAATGTGTTTCCACTTCAACATGCTGGTCTGCCAAATGGCCACCTTGTTGCTGCATCCTTGCATGGTGGAGAGAGACAGTGAGCTCCAGAATTTCTCCCTCTTCCTGCGAAGGCACCAGCCTTGCTGGATTATGTTGCCCCCACCAGCCCTGCCCGTTGAGCTGGTATTCAGACCTCCTCACAGACCCTGTCTCCAAACAGTCACATGAGGGGTTAGAGCTTTAAACATGAGGTCAGTCCATAACTGGCCCCGAACAGAGTCAGACCTGGGAATCTTGAATGGCCCCCAAACAGAGTGAGCAGGAATCTCGTAGGGTAAGACCTCTGAATCCCACACACATTCGGGCCCTTTCTTGTGACCAGACAAGTTGGGGGAGCCCTGCTTGAAAATAATCTATCAGCAGTGAACTCTTAGCTCCTGTCCATGTGAGGATAACTTCATTTGGCACGCATCCTTCAGTGACAGTTTAATTGGTTAAGTGAGTCTGGGCTGTTACTTTCTCTCAGTATCTTGAAGGTTTAGCTTCCAGTTCTTATGACTCCCCTTGCTGCTGTTTGGAAATCTGCTGTCAGTCTAACTATCATTCCACTGTGGGGTAAACGCTCTTTCCTCCCTGAATTTTTACCACGAGTTGTCTAACTGTGAAATCATTTGCATTTATTCTGCTGTGGATTTGTTGTGATTCCTGAAGCTGAGCACTGATGACGTTTATTGATTTTAGAAAACTGTACCCATTGTCTTCCTAGATGTTCTGTCTCCCACGTCATCTCGTTTCTCTCCTTGTACAAAACGTCCACTCCGTTTTCCCCACCGTCCTCCTGCCTTTCCACTTGCCTTTCATCATTTCCACCTCTGACTCTGTCCTGCATTCCAGGTCAGTTCTTTAGAACTACATTTCACTCCACTAAGTCTCCTGGTTTGTTACATCTGCTGCTCAATTCAGCCTTTTGAGTTCGTAGCAGTTTTTGTTTTTTAAATCTCAACAACTATTGGTTTTATTTCTAGAATTTACAACTTATTCTTTTTCAAATTGATTTTTTATTGTTCCTTGTTTCTGTTTTTGATTTTTTTTTTTTTTTTTTGAGATAGAGTCTTTGTCGCCCAAGCTAGAGTGCAGTGGTGCGATCTTGAATCACTGCAACCTCCACCTCCTGGATTCAAGCGATTCTCATGCCTCAGCCTCCTGAGAAGCTGAGATTGCAGGTCGTTGCCACCACACCTGGCTAATTTTTGTATTTTTTAGTAGAGACAGGGTTTCACCATGTTGCCCAGGCTGGTCTCAAACTCTGGACCTCGAGTAATCTGCCCGCCTTGGCCTCTCAAAGTGCTAGGATTACAGGCATGAGCCACCACACCCGGCCTTGTTTTGATTATTTTTAAAGTATTTCAGACATACTTATTTTATTTTAGCAACTGGGGCCTAAAAACCAGCCCAACACTCACTGGTGTAAAGCAATGATTCATTGTGAGGCACCTCCACTGTTAGGCCGGGCTCAGCTGGGGTGCTCTGTCCGTGTCAATTTCATCCTCCTACTGGAGCCAGCAAGCCTGCCTGTGCAGACCCTCTCCTGGCAGTGAAAGAAATCCAAAGGACAGATGAAAACATGCAGGGCCTCTTAGGACCCAGGCTCAGGATGGGAACACTGTCCTTTCCACCTCATTCTGTGGCTGAAGCAAGTCACATGGGGCACCACAGTCACAAGACAGAAGAAAAAATATCCTTTGCCCCTTTTGTGGGAGCAACTGTGGAGCGACGTGGCCAAGGCACAGATGCAGAGAGGGGTCAGGCCCCAGGGCCCGTGGCACTATGCCTTCCACACATTCTGGCTCAGATCGTTCCTCAAGGGCAATCTTTTGGGTTCTAGTTTTGCTGTTTGTTGTCTCTCACTAATGTAAGATTTTCTTTTTAGAAAATGTAAACACATATTCAGATTGGCTTTATTGGTGGCACTCCTGAGTTACTTGGGTGAGAAATGTTTCCTCTGGAGAATATGTGTTTGTTTCTACCAGGAACCTTGGGACACGACCAGCCTGGAGTTTCTTTAAATTGGCTTCTCAGAAAAAGGTTTCCTTGGCCACACAGTTCCGTAAATTCATACCCGACAACTGCATGGCAGCCAGTCTGCAATCACTCACTCTCAGGGGAGGGTGTTTCTCCACTCTGTGAAGTTCTTGTGGCTTTTCCTTCTGAAAGAGGGATTGAGAAGAGAGGAGAAATTTTAAAATGTAAATTATTTAAATCAAGGTTGTTTTAATCCATATGTTTTGCTCTAAAGGAAACCTGAGACTGAGAAATTTACAGAGAAAAGGGGTTGATTCGGCTCACGGTTCTGCAGGCTGCTCAGGAAGCACAGCTCCCATCTACCTCAGGCTGCCGCATTCACGGTGGGAGGTGAAGGGGAGCCCCCGTGTGCAGATCATACTTCATGGCTCCCGTCTACCTCAGGCTGCCGCATTCACGGTGGGAGGTGAAGGGGAGCCCCTGTGTGCAGATCATACTTCAGGAGAGAGAGAGAGAGAAAGAGAGAGAGAGACAGAAGAGGTGCCGGGCTCTTTTCAAGCCGTCCAGTGGACTCAAATACCTCCCGCCAGGCCCCACCCCCAACATTGGGTCTCACATTTCAACATGAGACTCCGTGGGGCAAAATACACCATATCCGAACCATGGCAGGGGTGTTATTCAAATCAAGGAATTCGGAAAGCTTTAGGAAAACTAAATGTTCAGAGGAGATGTCAAAGATAGTTTTTAAAATGCACAAAGCGTATGTAAAAATGAGTGGCCTATTACAGAAGTTATCCATGCAAATAGAAAAGAATAAGAAGACCCTGTGTCAATGGAGCATTAAGGAAAGCTGCTCCCTTTTGGAATTATGAAAAAGAAAAATATGCTTTTGGAGAGTTTGTTGATGGTGTTTCCAGTGATCATAGTCAGCATGAGGGTGAGACTTTGTGTCTTCTCAGCCGTTGTGTCAGAGGGTCTCACTGTTTCTGCCGATTCTCTTAGAAGAACAGAGATGTTGAACACCAGTATGGAGTCTGGAGGTCCAAACCCTGCCATTCCCGGTAGGAAAGTGACCTTGGGTGTATGATCTTGCCTCCCCAACTGGTTTCCCAAGAAAAGTAGAGGTGGGCAACCTCACAAGCTTCTTTTTTGCTTTTGTTTTTGAGATGGAGACTTGCTCTGTTGCCCAGGCTGGAGTGCAATGATGCCATCTTGGCTCACTGCAACCTCTGCCCCCCAGATTCAAATAATTCTTCCACCTCAGCCTTCCAAGTAGCTGGGATTACAGGCGTGTGCCAGGCTAATTTTTTAATTTTTAGTAGAGACAGGGTTTCACCATGTTGGTCAGGCTGGTCTGGAACTCCTGGCCTCAAGTGATCTGCCCACCTTGTGTTGATTAAATGAGACACTGTAAGTCAAGGGTAAAAACATGCCTAGCTCATCTAACTCCGTGTTGAAAACATTCCCGCAGGAGCCCACTGCATCCTCAGGCAGCCCCTGATCTGCAGCATCTGGTGAATTTCCATGGGGGTTCCCCCCAACAAGGTCAGGGGAAATCCCATGTTGGGAGTGCAGCGGGGGCAGCAGAGGGGGATGCAGGCATGAAGGAGGCACCAACTTGCCTCTTTAGTTATCCAAATTTGCTCTGGATACATCTGACTAGATGGGAAAGAAAGAACTCGAGGCACTGTTTGGGTCAGGGTCTCCAATCACACTTTGGTGCTCCCTCTTTAACCTTCCCCATATGCCTCATTCCTGCCCACCAATCTGGTCTTCCCACCGTTTTTGTGTCCCTTCTGAGTGATGACCTTTTCGCATCGGTTGCAGTACACATCTGGTAGAGACAAATGCTCTCGGCTTCAGTCTAAAATGCCTTTATTTCACTTTCACTTTTGAAATATGTTTTTGCTATATATAGAATTCTAAGCTGCTAGTGTATTTTTTTTTTCAAGCACTTAAAGAGCTCATTCCATCATCTTCTGGCCTTCATTGTTTCTGATGAGAAGTTGCCATCATTCTTACTGTTGTTCCCCTGAATATGTCTTTTTTTCCCCCTCTGCTTTTTCTTTTTCTTTTTTGAGCTAGGGTCTCACTCTGTTGCCCAGGCTGGAGTGCAATGGCATAATCACAGCTTACTGGAACATCCCCCTCTCAGACTCAAGCAATCCTCCCACCTCAGCCTCCCAAATAGCTGGGACCACAGGTGTGCACCAACATGCCCAGCTAATTTTTGTATTGTATTTTTTTTGTAGAGGTGAGGTTTCTTCATGTTGCCCATGCTGGTCTCAAACTCCTGGACTCAAAGAATCCACCTACCTCAGCCTTCCAAAGTGCTGGAATTCATGTATGAGCTACCATGCCCTGCTCCACTGACTGCTTTTAAGTATTTCTTGAAGTTTTTAATTATGAATTTCTCTTTATCTTTAGTCCTCCACAGTTTGGCCATGATGCTGCTGGGTATGCTTTTCTTTGTATTTTTCCAGCTTGGGATACACTGCACTTCTTGGAGTAGATTTATATCTTTTACCAACTTTCAAGATTTCTTGGCCATTATCTCTTCAAAGATTGTTCTCTGGGACTCTAGTTACATATATGTTAAGCCATTTAATGTTGTCCTACAGGTCTGAGATCCTCTGTTCAGGTTTCCTTCAGTAATGTTTCAAAAATGTAGAACAATTTTAGATTTGCAGAAGCATTGCAAAGATAGTACAGAAATTCCTACACACCCCGCACCTAGTCTCCCCTATTATTTGCATCTTGCATTAGCATGATATATTCACCACAAGTAATAAACCAATAGTGAGAGATTGCTATTAATTAATGTTCTTACTCAATTCAGATTTTCCGGTTAATGTTCTTACTCAATTCAGATTTTCCGGTTTTCCCCTCATGCCTTCTTACTGTCACAGGATCGTACCCAGAACACCACATCCTCTCAGGCTCCTCGTGGCTGTGATGGTGTCTCAGACTTTCTTTGTTTTCCTTTGTTTTTGTTTTTATGATCTTGTCCGTCTTGAGGGTGACTGCTCAGGTGGAATGACCCTCAGCTGGAATTAGTCTAATGGTCTTCTCGTGATTGGACTGGGGTAACTCATGTTGGAGAGGAAGGCCACAGGTCACAGGTGCACACCCTCGATGACTTGACTTCTCACTGTTGATGTGAACCTTAATTGCCTGGCTGGAGATGGTGTCTGGTTTCTGTACTGAATGTTACTTTTTTCCCTTCTTTTTCATAGTGCAGTCTTGGAAAGGGAGTCACTGTGTGCAGTGAGCATAACTCCACACCTGAGGAGCAGGCAGTTAGCTCCACATCCTTAGAGGCAGGGGATCCACATAAAGCATTTGGAATTCTTCTGTATGAGAGATTTGTCTGTTCTCCCTCATTTATTTATTTGCTCAATGATTTGTGAATAATTTATTTTATACTTTGCATTATAATCCACTACTATGTTGCGTTGCTCAAATTGTTCCAACTCTGGCCACTGGGAGTTGTCAGCTGCTCTCTGACCTTCTGTGTATCCCCATTACTGTGACTTTGGGGTGAGTTTTGGGGAGGGAGACCTTTCTTGTTTTTTGACACTTCCACACGTCCCAAGCTCATTCCGTATGTTTCCTGCCCTCGTTGTATAATCGACCATTTTCCAAGGAGCCCATTTTACCGGATAATGGTATCAGAAACCAAGAGCCTCTAGGATAAGGTGGTGTCTAAAAAACGAACACACAGAAACCCAGGGCCAGGTCCTACTCACTGCTCATCACTAGTCCCTGGTCGTTGCTGCTCCTGGCCTAGCTCACCTGGCAGAGCACAGGAATGTGTTTGTATCTATGACTCCATCTAGACACTCATCTCTATAAATATTTCTATATGCACCATCTGCCTCTATATTAAGCCAAAAATGAGCTCACACTGATGTCTCTGCCACCACATGGACCCTTCCAACCTCTTTCCTTTCCTTGTCTGTAACTTCTCACTGCAGCAGCAACCAGCCCAGCCACCTGCTATCCACTTACTTTTTCCATTACAATACACACGAGTAGTGGTTTCAGAATTAGGCTGGGATCCCATGAAGAACAGCCCTAACACCCAGAGGACAGCACTTACCTACAGTTTCTTTGGCCTTTAGTCTCACAGACTCTACTCGTTTCTAGTTACTTAGGTCAGCACTTGACTCCCCTATTCATTTCAATGAGACTGTTTTACACGTCTGTCACACACCTCGAGTCTCGTTCTGCATTTCACCCTGGGATCTCCTGTCTACATGATTCTTTAATTTGCATACAGTAAGGTTTACTCTTTGTGCTATAAAGTTATGTGGGTTTTAACAAATGCATTCACCATTCACCATCATGGTATCATACAGAATAATTTCACTGCCCCCAAAAAGCCCCTTTCCTTTATCTATTCAACATCCATTGCCCCGAACTCCTAGCAGCCACGATTCACCATCTCTCATCTAAAGTTTTGTTTTTCCAGAGTGTCACATAATTGGAATCAGACAGTGTGTAGCTCATGGTATTTTTTTGGTTTTTGATTTTTTGGGTTTTTTTTCCTTGGGAAACACCCCTCTATTTCTCTATACCTTTTATTCTGAAGTTGCAAGACTGAAATAAAATTCTTGCCTTTCCCACTTAACAGAGGCCCATGTTTTGGGCATCAGCTGATGGATGTCATGTATGTGCATGTACTGTGAAATGATAAGCTATTAGACGTGTGTCAGCCCCAAAATGGGGGCACCACACTTACAGTATGCCCACAGGACAGGCTTGTCAGGGCTGTCTCATACACTCACACATTTACTTGGCTAGTTGAGTAGCGGAGATGCACCAGGTCCTGTTTTATCCAGTGTGTGACCCCTGCTCTGCTCTCCATGTGACTGGAGCCCCAGGTCTGGCTGGTTCTCGGCCGCTCATTCTACTTACTGCATTTCAGAACTTCACTTGTTTGTTTGTTTGATTTTTGTTTTTGTAGTTTCTTTCTTTTTTTTTTAAATTGCATTTTAGGTTTTGGGGGTTTTGGGGGTTTTTTAGACAGGGTCTTACTCTGCCTCCCAGGCTGGAATGCAGTGATGCAATCTTAGCTCACTGCAGCCTCAACCTCCTGGGCTCAAGCAATCCTCCCACCTCAGCCTCCTGAGTAGCTGGAACTACAGACGTGTCCTGCCATGCTTGAACGGCCTTGCCTGGCATGTCTGCCCCTCCTCGTGCTTTGATTCCAGAAGCAGAGCAGCCACAGGCCTCTCCTCTCCTGGGATGGCCTCGTTCCTCTCTGGGATTCAATTCATTCTGGTTTCTCCATGTCCTCGGCACTCGTGGGTTTCTAAATGTGCCCGTGTTGTAGCTTCTCCAGCTCTCACGGGTAGGGTGGGGGCCACAGTCAATTTCAACTTGCCACATCCCAATCAGAAGCAGAAAGCACTTGCCGTCCTTGTCACCACTTTGGTCGGAGGTCAAATGTCCTTCCGATCCACTCTTGCTGAGGAGGGGGCCTCTGGTGTCCACAGTCAGGCTCTGGTCCGCAGGCTCTGGGTTGCCGACACTGGCAACCCCACGGGGCAGCCGTGTCTTCCACTGGCACACACCTCCTTTCTGTTGCTGGCCTGGGGTTCCTTTGCTCTGAAGCTCAGCCCTGCCCATCAGCACTTTGCCTCCATGTCTGCAGCACTTTCTACGTTTCCATCTGGTGGGTGGGGTCGGTGGCTCCTTGAGAGCTGGGCTGTGCTGGGCTCACATCTGAACTCCAGTGCCCAGCATGTGGCCTGGTTCACAGCCATCGTCCAATGCTGGGTTAATGGTCCTTCGAGTGGCCAAGCCCCCAAGGGGCTGATATTTTTGTAGCTTCTAGCACTCTCTCTGCAGTCTCTGCCCAGGGCTAGCCCAGATTTGAGGCCTGCCAACAGCCCTGACCTGAACGAGCCCTGTTCCCTCCTTCCACTCAGTCTTCTGCATGCCTCACTGCTGGGGAAATTCAGCCCCAAGCCGGGTCTGAAGGTAGCCAGACCTGGCTTATCAACTTTCTGAACCTGGGGTCCCTCCTCTCCCCGGCCCTCCGTCCTCTCCCACACCTCTCTCCAGGCAGATAACAGCCATCCCAGGAGCCCCCGGTGCTGACCAGGTAGGCCCCTCCCAGCAGGCAGTGGAGGCACATGGGGAGGGTGGCTTGGCACCTTCAGCAGACAGTGAGGGTGGGGGGGGCTGGGGTTGAGGGTCATCAATCAGCGGGAAATCAATCACCCCCTCCAAAGGGGCCCTGTCCCTCTAAATGAGCCTGCCCTGTGGGACTTCAGGAGCACGCCACCTTGTGTGGGTCTGGCCGGGGTCAGGAAGATCCTGAGGTAGAGGAGGCTATCAGGAGGGGAAAGCACCCCAGGACCCCTCTAAGCCCTGGGACATCCGGGACCGTGGGATGGGTGGAGGCAAAATTGAAAGGGGGGCTGGCAAGGCAGGGCAAACCGCCCCCATTCAAGCCCAGCGGGAGGCACGTGGAGCAGCCCCTGCATGCCCTCTTCGGTTCTCCTATCTTGCTGCCCCAGGGACCAGCCCTCACTACAGGGGCAGGGCTGCAGCACCCAGCACCGTGGGGAAACAGCGTGCTGCCCCACGGAGGACCCAGCACCCAGGGAGTTGCTCCAGGGAGGCCCTGGCTGAACTCTGTGTTTCTCCCCAGGGAAACAGCTGCCACAACTTGCTAGCCGGCTGTGCTCCTTAGAGGAGGAGAGGACCTTTGTAAAACGAAAAGCCCGAGGTAGCCTTGGCCTTCCCTTCCAAAGTAGCCCTGGCAGGTGGGCACAGGCCTCCCGTGGGGCAGGGGACTCCGTGGAGGGGCACAGAGCCTGCGGCCAGGCTGGGTTCTACCCAACTGTCACATGCCGCAGGAGGGGCTTGGGGAGAGACAGAGGCAGGGACAACAGCCAGGTGCGTCTGCTGGGCGCAGGAGGCTTTCTGGGCACTGTGGGCGCTCCACCCAACTCCTACGTGGCCTCAGCACATTCAATTCCACCGCCTGGCACAGGGGTGGGGCAGGCCGGACAGGGCATGCAGAGAGGGCAGCAGGGCAGGCTGCCTGGAGGAGCTGGTCCTAGCAGCAGGTGAGTGTGGGCTGGGCAGAAGGCAGGAGGGAGAATGGCCAGCTTCAGCCCGTGGGGCCTGGGGCGGCTGTGGGGGTCCACAGAGGCAGAGTGTGTATAGGGGCTCCCAGGTCCCTGCAGGGGTCAAGGACGAAGAACGAAGCTCACCATCACCAAAGGCCTCAGGCCCAGGCCACCTGGGGGAGGACCTGGGCTGCCAGGCTGGACCGCCCATGGGAGTGGGAGATGGGTGGAGGTCCACGCTGAACCCACCCCAGCCTATGCCATTACCCGGGCCTCGCCCTACTTGCTTTAGCTCATGTCCCCACCCACCCTGGCCTTGCTCCGCACCCCAGTCTATGCCTAGCCTCATGCCACACCCACCGGGCCTTGCCCCGCCCACACCCACTCCAGTCATGCCCCGCCCTCTCGGCGGCTCCAGTGCTCAGGCTGCTCCTTGCCGGCAGGGATCCCAGAGTCCCAGGAGGGGAGCGAGGTCTGCACCACCCCTGGCTGTGTGATGGCAGGTAAACACCCCCCCTTGCCCTCCACAGCCTGCTCTGGGGCTGGGGGCTCACGGCTGACATGGGCACAGGCCCTGTCCAAGACCCAGGGGAGCAGCTCCAAGACAGGGCTGTGGAGCCACATGGGCCGGACTCGCTGTGGAGTTGGGGGAGCTGGTGTTCTGCTGGCGTCTGGCACCCGCTGGGTCCCCAGTCCCGAGCCTCCAGCAGCCAGGCCCTGCCACGACGTTCTACAAATAAAATTTTTTTAAAATAGCATTCAGGCAAGGTGGCACACATCTGTGATGCCAGCTTCTGGGAGGCTGAGGCGGGAGGATCGCTTAAGCCCAGCAGCTCAAGGCTGCGGTGAGCTGATCATGCCACTGCTCTCCAGCCTGGGCAGCGGAGTGAGACCCTGTCTCTAAAAATAAATGAGAGAAAACTCTAGCACTGACCCCAGGCTGGGTGATTCCATCGCTGCAGCTCAGAGAGGGTGGTTAACTCTCCCAGGGCCCACAGCCTCACTGGATGGACAGCAGCCCCTTCCCAAGGGACCAGGCTGTCTCCTGGGCCGGGAGACAGGCTTCTGGGCTGTCCACAACTCTCTCAGTCTCCCCTCTCCCTGCTCCATGCCATGGGGACGAGCAGCCGCCAGGATCCTCCAGAACATGGACCCGACCATGGAACCGTGTGATGACTTCTACCAGTTCGCATGCGGAGGCTGGCTGCGGCACCACGTGATCCCCGAGACCAACTCAAGATACAGCATCTTCGACATCCTCCGCGACCAGGTGGAGGTCATCCTCAAAGGTAACAGCGCCTGGTGGGTGAGCAATGGGTGATGCCCAACAAGATGGCACTGGGCCAGGAGTTGGGTCTGGTTGTGTCTCGCCCCTGTTTCTGCTTCCTCCTTGGTCCAGTGTGCACAGAGGAGAGGGAATAAGGGCCCAGCAGCTGGGGAACCGCCTCTTGCCAAGTGCTGCAGAGGTGTGGGGACCTGTGACTTGGCCCCTGCAGCCTCGTCGGGCCTCTGTCCCACCTTCTCCTGTGCCCACAGTGGTGCTAGAGAATTCCACGGCCAAGGACCGGCCGGCTGTGGAGAAGGCCAAGATGCTGTACCGCTCCTGCATGAACGAGAGTGAGTGGGGGTAGTCAGGAAGGGGCCGATGTGGGGACCGGGGCAGGCTGCCCTGCCAGGGCCTATCACAGCCCGAGGACCCCATGGCTGCCCCCAGGGTGCCTTCAGGACTCATGCCAGAGGGCCTGAGTACTGCACCCCACACCCAGCCACTGGGTCCAGGCTCATAGTAATGCCAGCTGGCCTGCAACCTCACTCACACCCCAAGCCCAGCACAGGCCACACTTTCCAGGTTGCAGGAAGACTCTGTGTGTGTGTGTGTGCGTGTGTGTGTATTATATGTATATGTGTGTATGTACATGCATGCATGAGTGTATGTTTTATGTGTATGTGTGTGCATGTGTATATGTGCATACATATGTGCATGTGTTTACATGTATATGTATGTATGCATGTATCTGGGTATATGTATATATGTGGTTTGTGCATGTGTACATGTGTCCATGAGGGCACATGTGTTGTGTATGCAAGTATATGTATTGTGTTATGTGTATGCGTATATGTATATGCATGCATGTGTGTACATGTGTACATTGTGTGCACGTGTGTTGTAACATATGTGTGTATTGCCTATACTGTATATGTGTATTGTGTGTATGTGTATGTGTGTAGTGGGTGTTGTGTGTGCATGTATGTGTGTATGTGTGTGCATGTATGTGTTGTGTATATGTGTACTGTGTGTATTTGTGTGTACGTATGTATGTGTATGTGTTGTGTGCATGTATATGTGTATGTGTGTAGTGGGTGTGTGTTGTGTATATGTGTAGTGTGTGTATTTGTGTATGTGTATATGTGTATGTGTTATGTGCATGTGTGTATGTGTATGTGTGTAGTGGATGTGTGTTGTGTGTGTATATGTGTGTTGTGTATGTGTACTGTGTGTACTTGTGATGTGTATATGTGTATGTGTTGTGTGCATGTGTGTGTTGTGTGTATTTGTGTGTGAATATGCGTGTGTCACATGTGCATGTGTGTGTGCATGTGGATGTGTGTGTGTGGTGTGGGGGACAGATTGTCCCCGTTTTGGTTCCCATTAAAGGAATTCAGTGCTTCACGCACCCCCTCCCAGCGCCCTTTAGCTCCTCCGCTTGGGGGTCTGCAGGCCCAGCCCGTGGTTGTGGTTGCTGCAGAGACGGCACCTCTGCTGAGCACCAGGGTTCAGAGCTGGCTGTTTTCTCCGGGGTGTCTTGTGAAGCCTCTGCCCGACTGTGGAACTCACTGGAACCCTGGCTTTAGGGGGTGTCTCTGTGAGACCCCCTGCCTGGGTGCACTGGGCTTGTCTCCTCCCCATAGAAACTGAAGGTCAGGCCCCCAGTCTGGGCCATACCCCCAATATCCCCAAGGAGACGATATCCTGTGTCCCCACCTTTACTTAATTTTTGGCCTGAGAGGCTAAATATACAAAGAGCAGGGGCCAGACCATCTGGAAACCTGGAACTCGACTCAGGACCCTGCAGCCCAACCGGGAACCCAGCCCTTTATCCGCAGTAGGCAGCCCAGGGGTCAGATGGCACTGCCCACAGCATCCCGCCCAAACCAGCAGGGACCCAATTCATAACTGACAGCTTCCCCTGTAATGCCTGTCCCCGCTTCCAACGTAGGGCCCCAGCCAAGCCCAGAGGAGCCTGGCTTCTAGTGAGCCCACCATAGCCTTCTGGGACAGCGGCCCCCACTCTGCCCACCGGGTCTCCCCTGTGCCACCAGGAAGCCCTCTCGCTCCCTGCCAGCCCCTGGTCTGACTGGGCACCTGCCTCTGTGGTCGTCACCTGTTCCCACGGTGATTCCCTCCACATCCCCACCTTTCACCTCATCTTGAGGACAGTGCTCCTGAGCTGCTGAGCCAAGACACAGAACACATGCGGGCCCCAAGGACTCCCCTGCCTCCCCCCGCACCCCGTCCCAGCATGCCCGGTGCCACCGCCTGAGTCCTCGCGGAGGCTTGGCCTGCACCCAGAGCCTCCTCTCCTCTCCCAGGCTCCCTGCCTGCTGGCCGGCTCCTAGGCCCAAGGGGCTCCCACCCATCAGCCTCTTTGTCCCCCAGGGCTCATGTGCTTTTATCAGCCCCCAGGTCTCCTTTCACACCCGAGTCCAATCTGAGCCTCCACCTCCCGCACTGCAGAGCTGCCATGATGCTGGTCTGTGATGGGAGGGCGTGCGCCTGCCCTGGCCAGCCGCGTCCCCAGGGCTGTGTCATGGTGCGTGAGCCACGGGGAGGCTGGGAGAGTGACCACTGCGTCCCTCCTCAGATGTGATAGAGAGGCGAGGCTCTCAGCCCCTGCTCGACACCTTGGAGGTGGTGGGAGGCTGGCCAGTGGCCATGGACAAGTGGAACGAGACCACAGGTAAGGCCAGTCCTGGTGGCAGCCTCATAGGCAGACAGAAGAGGACGCCGGCCAGGGTTCCTTGGGGCTGAGGTCTTCCAGGAAGGGATCCTACCCCTAACCTCCAGCTGCCTGCTCTCAGAAGCCCCAAGAGGCCCAACCCAGCCACAGCCACCTCAGGGTCCTGGGAGGTAGCTCAGGCTCCATGCTGGAGAGGCTGTAGCCCATGGCCAGTCCCATCCAGCCCTGGGGAGGGGCGCCCTTCCCAGCCTCCTGGAAGGAATCAACTCCCAGGTCCAAGCCAGCCCCGGCTCACGCACCATGACACAGCCCTGGGGCTTGCACTCCATTCTCTCGGGAGCAGGAGTGGTGCCAGGTGCTGCGCCCAACCCCCTCCCATCACCTGGGGGCCCGCCTGTCGCTCCTGGGGGCTCTTAGAGATAATGTGCCCCACATCCCCCAGCTTCCAAGGCCCACAGGTGAGCTCCCCACCCTCTGCCCCTGAGTTCCTGGCTCCGGAGGCCAGATTCACTGACAAGGGGCTGGGCTGGGACCCCAGAGCCGCCAGTCTCCAGCCTGGGTGCTGCCTCCGCAGGCCTCAAGTGGGAGCTGGAGCGGCAGCTGGCGTTGATGAACTCACAGTTCAACAGGCGCGTCCTCATCGACCTCTTCGTCTGGAACGACGACCAGAACTCCAGCCGGCATGTCATCTACGTACGCGCCGCGCCAGTAGGCAGGGTTAGGCAGGGCCCCCAAGCCTGGCTGGGGCTCTCGCAGCACAGCAGGAGGACAGGCCAGGTAGTCAGGTGGGCTCCCCACTCCTGTCCACAGCCATGGGCTATGCAGTTCCTGTGGAGCCTCGTGGCCGAGCTGGCGGTCAAAGCACAACCCGGCTCTGGTCAGAGGGGCAGGGGCTCCTGGACAGCGGGGCTGGGGCCAGAGCAGGCAGCCTGACCTCGAGGAGCCACTGCTGGCCACGGGCTGGAGACCAAAGAGAAACCACATGAAACAAATACGCACCCCACTCTGGGGGAGCCGTGGATGCTGCGGGCCCCTCCATCCCACCCAGCCCAGCACCCCCACCATCACCCAGAGCAGGGCCTGGGCTCCCAAGTCCAGCACCAGCTCTGGCACCGACTCCTGGGCAGAGCACCGGTCCACGGGCACAGTCCTTGGGCTGCTGCCCACCTCAGCCAGGCTGTGGGGCCCCTAGGCCCCTGGCCCGGGGTCACAGCTTCTATGTTTCCAGATAGACCAGCCCACCTTGGGCATGCCGTCCCGAGACTACTACTTCAGCGGCGGTAGAGACCGGAAGGTGGGTGGGGCCTCACTGCAGCACCGGACCCCCGTGGCCCCCACCCCATGGGCTGGCCTTCTCATCACCCACCCGGCTTCACTCCCCGCAGCTGGTGTAGTGAGCAACTGTGCAGTGAGCCCAGCACTGAGGTGGGGGTGGGCAGACATAACCCATTACTTGCCACCATCCCCGGAGACGTTCCCTCAACACGCCGGCCAGGCCCGGGGACAATCTCTGCTCAGCAGCAGCTCCATGAGGCAGAACTGTCATGCCCGTCCTCGAAATGCAGAACCTCCCACCCCGGCACCCACAGCCTCAGCACCCACCCTGTGCCAACCCTTACAGGCAGCCACACAGTTTAAGCCCCCAGCAGCTCCAGGGGTGGGTCCCCCAGCCAGAGGCTCGGGCACAGGTCACGTGTCTGAGAAGCTCCCCCTCAGCACTCTGTGTACCCAAGAGCTCACTGGCCAAGGTGGGTTGACAAGCATCGGGGCTGCCCCATGTCCTACGCCCACTCCACCCCCACAGAGGCCCCGGGGGCCATGGTGGCCAAGCCCACCCAGCCCCGCCCTGCGTCCTTTGGCCCAGGTTCGGGAAGCATACCTGCAGCTCATGGTGTCAGTGGCCACGATGCTGCGGGAGGACGAGAACCTTCCCAGGGACAGCCGCCGGGTGCAGGAGGACATGGCGCAGGTGCTGCAGCTGGAGACGCAGCTGGCCAAGGTGAGGGGCGGGGCGGACAGGGATCGGGCAGGGAGCTGGCAGGGAGACCCAGGCTGCATCTGGGCCGCCCACCTGTGTGACCCCTGTCCCTGGCAGGCCACAGCACCCCAGGAGGAGAGGCACGATGTCATCGCCCTCTACCATCGGATGGGCCTGAAGGAGCTGCAAAGCCAGTTTGGCTTGAAGGTGAGGCACACACCGCCCAGGAAGCTGGTGCTGACCAGGTGGGGACTCGTGGGGGACATGGAAGCGGCCCTCTGAGGGGGCACCTTGCCTCGAATTTAAGCTCAGAAACATCCCCACCCCGAGCAGGGAGCCCCTGTAACTGATCACCAACACTGCTCAGAGCAGTGCCGGCACGGTTACTCATGTCGCTGGGCAGAACAGCAGCACCCACTGCACCATCCTGGGACAGAGTCACCCATCTGTGCGGTGCTGTGATAACCCCGGTCACCAGCAGCTCCCTGAGCAGGATGGAGGCCTCAGGGAGCTGCTGGTGTTTGGGGGTGTGCAGAGTCCCACCCAGGGCTCTCAGACCGCAGGCCCCACTCAGAACCTTAGCACGGTGCTGGCTCCTGGTCCTGCCTGCCAGATGGAGCAGCTCCCCCTGGCCACACCCTCAGGAGCTCTCCTCCCCAGTGCCCAGGCCAGGCCCCGCCCTGTGATCAGAGATGGGGGCTAGAGAGGAGCGGCCCAGCCTGGGAAGGGGCGAGTCCCCCACCCTCTCAGACAACTCAGAGCAGCGGGCCTTCTCGAGGGTCTCCGTCACCGGGAGACACAGGCGTGCGGCTGCCGAAAAGGACACCCAAGTCAGAGGGGGGAGGGCAAGGGCAGAAGGGGGTCCAAACTCCTGCCCCCCCAACTGAAGGATGTCCCTGGCTTTATTTCATGTTTGCTGTGACTGGACTGCTTAGGACTTTGAGCCTAATGCTGATGTCATGACAGCAGACGTTGGAAGAAACGCCTGTAGCATTTTACCATGAAATTTTACGTTTGGTTGGGTGCGGTGGCTCATGCCTATAATCCCAGCACTCTGGGAGGCTGAGGCAGGCGGATCACCTGAGGTCAGGAACTCGAGACCAGCCTGGCCAACATGGTGAAACCCTGTCTCTACTAAAAGTACAAAAATTGGCCAGGCGTGGTAATTTTTGTCTGTCTCAAAAATAAATCAATAAACAAATGAATAAATTTTATGTTTGCTATGGACTTGTTTTTGCTGCTGCAGTTTCATACATTTCCTTTATCAAATTACAGAACTTTCCTTCTATTTTTGTTTTCTTTTCCTTTTTTGAGGCAGTCTTGCTCTGTCACTCAGGCTGGAGTGCAGTGGAGTGATCTCAGCTCACTGTAACCTCCGCCTCCCAGGTTCAAGCAATTCTTGTGCCTCAGCCTCCCGAGTAGCTATGATTACAGGTGTGTGCCACCACACCCGGCTAATTTTTGTATTTTTAGTAGACACAGAGTTTCGCCATGTTGGCCAGGCTGGTCTTGAACTCCTAGTCTCAGGTGATCTGCCTGCCTCAGCCTCCCAAAGTGTTGGGATTGCCAGCGTGAGCCACCGCACCTGGCCCTTCTCTTTTTACTTTGCCAAGACGGCAGATTTATGAGATGCCTTTTCTCCATCTGTTGAAGCATCCGTGGCTTCCCTCCTTTATTCAGTTACCCTCGTGAATCACACTGATTGGATTTTCAACTGTTACACCAAACTTGTATTCCTTGAATCAATCTAATTTGGCTGTGATGTGTTAGCATTTTATACAACCATGGCTAGGTTCTATTTGCTCATGTTTTGGTTAGAACATTTGTACCTGTAACACACATAAGACTGGCTTATCATTTGCTCTGCTTCTAATATTCTCACTTCGGTAGTAAGGTTATTCTTGGCCTCAAAGATCAAGTCAAAAAGCATCTTCTCATCTCTGGAGAGTTTTAGTAAGATGGCAGTTTTCCTTAAATATCAGATAAAGTCCACCGATAAAGCCAGATGGGCCTGGAAATTTCTTTGTGGGAATGTTTCAAATTAAAGGTTCCATTGATTCAACCTGGAAGACTATTCATATTTTCTATTTTTTTCATTTTTGCTAAGTTGCATTTTTCTAGGAATTTGCGGTTATACTTAGCTTTTGCATTTATCTGCATAGTCGCCTGTGTTTGTATAGCTGTAGGAGGTTCTGTAATAATGCCACCGCCCTTTACTGATTCCAACTGCCTGCACCTTCTCTCTTATTCCTCGAACATTCTTCAGTGGGGGCTGGATTTCTTTCTTAGGTTCCCAGGAACTGTTTCTCCCTCTCCCTCTTTCTCCCACTTCCTCTGTCTGCAGGGATTTAACTGGACTCTCTTTATACAAACCGTGCTGTCCTCTGTGAACGTCAAGCTGCTGCCAGATGAGGAAGTGGTGGTGTACGGCGTCCCCTACCTGCAGAACCTTGAAAGCATCCTCGACACCTACTCAGCCAGGTGAGGCCCAGGGAAGGCTCCAAAGGCCTCGACATTGGCCCTGCTCTCCCATCTCCCCAACGCAGCTTCTGCTCCCAGGAGGGGACCCTATGAAGCATTTGCTCTGTGGGTGTGGGACATGAGGGGTTAAGTTTCCGTGGCCAGTGGAGCCTCACATTACAGGTGTGTCACATCCCAAGCCTCCGGGGCAGACTGGCTGGATCTGGAGGCGATTGTCCTGGAGGCTTTCTCCAGCACCCATAACTCTGTTTGGGGTGGAACATGCCAGCCAGGGGCCCTAAGCATATCCCCTCCCTTGCAGAGACCACTCACCTTTGTCCCCCACAACCCTCTACCCTCTGCCCAGGACCATACAGAACTACCTGGCCTGGCGCCTGGTGCTGGACCGCATTGGCAGCCTGAGTCAGAGGTTCAAAGACACACGAGTGAACTACCGCAGGGTAAGCCCTGCCTCCGCCTGGAGCCTGGCCCATCACTCACTCATCCCTGCCACGGTGCTGAGCAAACACTGTGGGCAAGCACCGAGGTCCACACCAGGGCCCCAGACAGGGACGAGGCGGGGCCAGGCGCCCACCCTGGTGGAGGGTCAACCATAAGCAGTCAACACAGCGGAACGCAGCCCTGCCAGAACCACAGAGTGTGATGTGGTGGGGAGGACGAGGGCGGGAGCACTGCTTTGGGGAGGTGACATCTGAGACCTAAAAGCCTAAAGAGACTGCAGGGTGATTTCCCGGGAGCAGAAACAGCCAGGGCCAGGGCAGAGGCCAAGGCCAGAGCAGGCAGAGGCCAAGGGGCCGGACCTGGGGTCAGCAGAGGACAGGAAGGAGAAGAAAGAGGGCAGGGAGGGAGAGGAGGTGACCACCAGGAGGGAGGGGAGGTGACCACCAGCCGCAGCAGCCAGTTTGGGTTATACTCCCATCTGAAAGGCGCTGCGGTGCTAAGAGCAGAGACTCGGTCAGATTCCTGCTCCTTTGGTCACTGTGGCTGCTGCAGGGCTGGGGTTAGGGTGGAGACAGGGAGGCCCTAGGGGCATTCTGGCTGTTCTGGGGAGAGTGAGCTGAGTGGGGGCAGTGTCAGCCTGGAGGCTGATGTCACCCAGGGGAGGTGACAGGCTTGGCCAGGGCGCTGGCAGACAGACAGACAGAGGGGAGATGTGGAGCACAACGGCTGAGGGGCTGGGCAGAGGGGCTAAGGGCAGAGGGGAGTCGGGACTCTCAAGACCTCTGCTGGAGCACTGGGAGGGACAGAGGCCCCACCGAGATGGAGAGACTGAGGCACAGGCAAGCTGGGGCAGGTCAAGCCTCCCGCTGCCATGGCGGGTCAGAGACATCTATGAGCCAAGCATGGGGGGCACTGAGTCTAGGAGCTCTGGAGAGGAAGGAAGGGCTGCCTCCCTTCCCGGAGGGCAGGAAATCCTGCAGCGCAAAGGCGTGGCAGGACCATGGGCAGAGCTGTCCCCGGGCTGGCCTGAGCCTGGGGCCGAGTCTTGTGCCCCTGGGTCCCTGGGGACAGATGAGCAGGTGTTCTCACAGCTGCTTCAGCAATGGGGAGAGCAGGGCCTAGGAGCTGGTGGCTGAGAGAGACGTGGTCCTAGGCCTTGCTCCGGGGTCAGCACCAGCCCTGTGCCTTGTGACTGGAGGTGGAGTCCTGGAGAGCAGAGTCCAGTCAGACAACTAGGACAGGGGCGGGGGAGGAACTCCCCCAGCTCCCCAGGGTAACAGCCCAGCTCTCATCTAGGGAGCCCCCCCACTCACAATGGCACCCCCATCCTCCCCTGGCTGCAGCAGCACCCAGAGGTGAGGCTGAGACCATCCGTCCCCCCGCCGGGCCCCAGGGCACCCTGAGGCTGAGGATGGGTAGGTCTGCTCCCCACATAAGCCCAGGGCACCCCACCAGGCCTGGGGAGGCTGACAAGGGTGCCTGGGATGACCGGTGGTCCCCAGGCACTGTTCGGCACGATGGTGGAGGAGGTGCGCTGGCGTGAGTGTGTAGGCTACGTCAACAGCAACATGGAAAGCGCCGTGGGCTCACTCTACGTCAGGGAGGCCTTCCCCAGAGACAGCAAGAGCATGGTGAGCACCTCATCCATGGCCCACTGGGGCCAGCCTTCCACGGGGAAGCCCAGCCTCCCTGCCCTGGGACTCCCGCCCCGCCCAGGCTTAGGGGCAGCTGGGGGAGCCACGTCTGCTCCAACACACCAGACGGAGGCCAAGGGAAGCCCTTCCCTCCCACCCCCATGCCCCTGACCCCAGCTGCCATCAAGCCCCACTCCTGGGCCCTGCAGGTCCAGCTGAGAAAGGCACAGGTGGTACAAGTTTTCCCAGGCCCATGAGGACCCTGAAAGGGGGGTCATCCCCCAACTGCCCTATACCTCACCTGAGAGGCTCACAGGTGGGTGGCCTGGGCCTTGCCCCACTGGGGCTCAGATTAGACGAAGGCTGGTCACCTTGCCTCCGGGTGAATCTGGGACATGAGGGCCATGCCTGCCTCCCAGGTCAGAGAACTCGTTGGCAAGGTGCGGGCAGTGTTTGTGGAGACTCTGGATGAGCTGAGCTGGATGGACGAGGAGTCCAAGGAGAAGGCACGAGAGAAGGTGCGTGGCTTACAGAGGCTGGGCAGCCGGGACCAGACCTGGGCACGGGCAGCCACCCCAACAGACCCGCCCAACGGCCCCCCATGGGGAGATGGCCATCCTGGGAGGCACAGACAGGACCACCCGCCCACTACAGAGCTGAGGAAAAGCAGGCGGGAATGGGAACCAGGCCTGGGACATCCCCAGTGCTCCCCAGGAGCCAGTGTGAGTAGCAGTGACCTTGGGAGCGAGGGTCAGACCCACCAGAAACCCCTCTGGACCCAAGTGACAGATGGCAGCCAAGTGACCTCTCCAGGGTCCCCACCTGGACCCCCAGAGGGCTGTTGTGTTCTGAGTCAGCTGGGCAAAGCCCCCCATGTTCTGTCCCCATTGAACCTCCCAAGAGCCTGCAAGGTGGGGGCCCAGTCCTAGAGCCCCCCCAGCCCCTCACCCACAGGACAGGGAGAGCACAGCCGGGATGCTTCAGGCCGACCCGTCCCGCTGTGGGGTAGCTACTGACCAGATCCCCAGCCGACCCCTCCCACAGTAGGACAGCTACTGACCAGATCCCCAGCCGACCCCTCCCACAGTGGGGCAGCCACTGACCGGCCCCTCCTCCCCACTCAGGCCATGAGCATCCAGGAGCAGATTGGCCACCCTGACTACATCCTGGAGGAGAGGAACAGGCGCCTGGACGAGGAGTACTCCAACGTGGGCCCCCCCCACCACTGCTGCCCACTTCTCCCCTTGTAGCCACCCCAGTCCCAAACCACCCCCCACACCGTGAACATGGGGCCCAGATTGCCTGGGGGTGCTCCATGCCAAGCCCTTCGCCTTCCTACCAGGCACTAACACCACCGTCCTCTAGGGTGGTGGCTCCAGTACTACTCTCAGTGTACAGATGGGGAAACTGAGGCCTGGAGGGACGAGGGACTTGCTTGGAGTCATGTAAACCCTCACTGCCAGGGTTCACCTGCACCCACAGCCAGCTGTCCATGTGCAGATGCCTGGCAAGGCTTGAGGTCCTTCCCCAACCTGGACCTCTCCCCTTGCCCTGCTGAGGGCCCAGACTGAGTACCTGGCAGTGACTGGCCCTCTCCCACAGCTGAACTTCTCGGAGGACCTGTACTTTGAGAACGGTCTGCAGAACCTCAAGGTGGGCGCCCAGCGGGGCCTCAGGAAGCTTCGGGAAAAGGCGGACCCAAATCTGTGAGTGGCGTCACTGGTGCAGCAAGGGCAGGGCAGGGAGTGGTCAGCAAGGCGTGCAGGGCTACCTGGTGGGCAGGGGGACGATGCGTGGCTGGGGTGCAGTGGCAGCTCAGAGGGGCAGTCACTGGGCCCGTCTCAGACTGAGTTCCCCATCACCCTCTGCTTTCTGGGGCCCAAGTCTCCCCTTCCTCAGGGACCCCAGGAAGGAACCAGATCTTGGGATAGGCCTGGCCCCTGCTCTAGGATGGCTGGGGTGGGCTCTGGTCCATCGAGGCAGGGAGGGGCCAGAGGGTCCTGGGAGAAGCGGCTCCCAGAGACCGGCTTATCAATCACAGGTGGATCATCGGGGCGGCCGTGGTCAATGCGTTCTACTCCCCAAACCGAAACCAGATCGGTAAGTTCCTGCCCTCCCCACCCGCATGGGCCCTTTGGTGCCAGAGCTGAAGGGGTGGCTTGCCAGCCCCTGCCGACCCTTCCTCCTGGGGGTATCCCAGCCTGTTCTCAGAAGGGGAGCAGGCACCCGCTCTCCCAGAGCACCCCTTGCTGCCCCCAGGGGAACATTAGCTGCTGTGCCCGTGCGTGGCTCCAGGAGGGACTGCACAGGAGGTGGGAGGAGCTGAACTGGGGTCCTGGGTCTGCCTCTGAACCTCCGTGTCCTCATCTGTAAATTGAGGGGTCTTGACCTCTACCTCCCAGTCTGTGGGGTGGAATGTCAGAACCCCAGCGGCGCCATCCCTGAGCCTGGCGCATGGAAGATGCATCCACTCACAGCCTGTTCTTTGTCCCACTCCTGGGGACAGTGTTCCCTGCCGGGATCCTCCAGCCCCCCTTGTTCAGCGAGGAGCAGCCGCAGGCCTTGAACTTCGGAGGCATTGGGACGGTGATTGGACACGAGATCACCCACGGCTTCGACAACAGCGGTGAGGGCCGCCCTCCGACCACGCTCCCCTCCCCTCTCCACGGGAAGAGCCCGAAAGGGGTCTGGGGGTGGCCCATTCAGCCCCTTCGTGGCTTCAGTGGGGACACCGAGGCCAGGTCCCCAGGGAGCTGTAGGGGCAGAGCAGACCTTGAATGCCAGGCTGGGACCTTGCATGGGGGCATCCACTCCCACCATAGAGGAAGAGACCCAGGGACTCCAGCTCGTGACCCTGACTCCACCTAGCACTGGGCACTTTCCTCCCTCGGCCTGTGACATGGGAACAACAGCACTGCCCAGCACAGCAGTGAAGCCCAGATCCCAGCCTGGGGGCCTCTCCAGACCTGGCATCCTCCACCCTGGGGGTGTCCAGCCCCACCATGGCCATGCCGATCTCTGCCACTCAGGGGGGACCACCCTACCTGGGACAGGGGCCCCGCTGGTTTTCCCTTGTGGCTCAGCCATCAGGACCTTCCGTGGGCAGCCCCACGTCCCCAGGGACCACGTGCTCCCCTCACCTGGGGCTTAGAGTTTGGGCATCACAGAAGGAGCCCTTAAACTCTGGAGCTTCAAGACATCAGGACCCAGGTGCTAGGCCCTTGCCTCGGGGTAATATGGGAGGCCACTGAAGGCCTCCCTCTCTGGGGGCCTGTGTAGCCCCAGACAGCTGCTGCCCCTTGGAGCCCGCGACACTCTTCAGGCTCAGCCTGCTCAGGACAGTGGGCTCTCTGTGGTTGGGCTGCCTGCAGTGGGGGCAGGAGACGCCAGGCGCAGCACGGCCAGGGCTGTGTGGGCAGCCCTCCTCTGCCCCTGCCCAGGCCGGAACTTCGACAAGAACGGCAACATGATGGACTGGTGGAGTAACTTCTCCAGCCAGCACTTCTGGGAGCAGTCGGAGTGCATGATCTACCAGTACGGCAACTACTCCTGGGACCTAGCGGAGGGGCAGAACGTGAGCGCAGCCACCAGCACGGAGGCTGAGGGGGACTGGAGCCCCAGCCCTGTCCCTCGGGAGAGGGAAGTCAGGGCCTCGGCTGCCCTCAAACCTGGCTCCTGTGCGCAGGTGAACGGATTCAACACCCTTGGGGAAAACATTGCGGACAATGGAGGAGTGCGGCAAGCCTATCAGGTGAGGCCCGGAGGGGATGGGGCGCTCGCTCAGGACCCCGGCAGGGGATGGGGCGCCAGGGGCTCACTGGGGAGCCCAGCAGGGGATGGGGCACCAGGGCTTGCTGGGGACCCTGGCAGGGGATGGGGCACTGGGGGTTTGCTCAGGACAGGCGCTGTGCAGTTGGCTGCCTGGCCAGGGATCCCCCCAAGCCCAGCTCAGGGTTCCCTGAGTGACTGAGGTGGTAAGCGCTCACCCATGGGGTCTGCGGAGGGGCCCTGCACAGGGTCCCTACAGGAGCAGTACCCCCACAGGGGTAGGTCCTGGAGCCAGACCTCTGCTCTGCCCCAACACCTGAGGGCTCTGGAGTCCAGGCTGGCAGGCCCGAGCCCAGCTCCCGTCCGGTGCCTGCAGGCCTACCTCAAGTGGATGGCAGAGGGTGGCAAGGACCAGCAGCTGCCCGGCCTAGCTCTCACCCACGAGCAGCTCTTCTTCATCAACTACGCCCAGGTGGCAGCCGCAGTCCTGGTCCCACCGTCCCCACGATTCCCTGCTCATCTCTGGAGGACCCGCTCTGGGGACCAGAGCACAGCATGGAAGGCCCCTTGGGGGAAAAGCATGAGGGGCAGGGTGGGAGCTGGAGGAGTCCAGTGCTGATGGGAGGAGGGGGGACACCCACTGGCTCCCCCCACCCCACCCTAGAAGGGACAGCCTGGGGATGGTGGAGACCCTCCCCCACCCCTCCCGGCCATCCCACCCCTATCTTCTGTAACCACGCCCCCCACACGCCCACAGGTATGGTGTGGGTCCTACCGGCCCGAGTTTGCCATCCAGTCCATCAAGACGGACGTCCACAGTCCCCTAAAATACAGGCAAGTGCTCCCATGCCCACACCCCCCTTGCCACCCATGACCCCCTCGACCCCACCCCAGTGGCCTGTAAGAGTTAAAGAAAAAAGCACAAAAAGCGGCTCCACAGTCAAAAACAGGTTTACTTTGGGAATGAACCTGGATGGGGCTTCTCGCTGATTTCAAGAGCATTCTCTTACCAACTGAGAGTACTTAAGGGTTTAGGGAGGGAGAGCTTATCGCAGGCTCAGAACGTTTCTGTGTGAGGAAAGTTTTATTGCAGGGTTGGCGTGTTTCTGGTTGGAGGGAGTTTATCTCACGGTTGGCATCTTTCTGGTCATGCTGACATTAGCCATTAGGCTGACGTTGGGCTGGTTTCTAGTCAAGGGAATTAAAAGTGGCCATGTTTGTGCGACGCTCCTGCTCAGTCACACTTGCCCATCCACACACCCACAGGGTTCTGGGCTCGCTGCAGAACCTGGCCGCCTTCGCAGACACATTCCACTGCACCCAGGGCACCCCCATGCACCCCAAGGAGCGATGCCGCGTGTGGTAGCCAAGGCCCAGCCGCACTGCGTGGCCCACGCCCACCCGCTGCTTGGAGGCCTGTGTGGAGAACGTGCAGCCAGCGGAGACCCAGCAGATGCCCCGCCCCAGCTGGCCATGTCAAACCTGCCTGCCAGGTATCTGCGCCTGGCCTCCAGTGCGGCCACCTGCCTGACACCCAGGGATGAACAGTGTCCGGTACAGTGGCAGCCCAGAGCCCCCTCCACAGACACTCTCAGGGCTCAGCGCCCCACCACAACCCTACAAAGACTGTGTCCTGCCCACCCTCCAAAGCGCAGTCTCCCAGTGTCCACAGCTTCAGACTTGAGCTAAGTAAATGCTTCAAAGAAATCGGAGGCCTTGCTTGTCTGGGACAGACTAGGGTGAGCAGACAGGTGGCAGTGGCCTCGGGCGAGACAGCTGCCTGGGGGGGAGAGTGACAGCTGGGAGCTGAGGGGGAGGGAGCCGGTTCCAGCCAGATTTCCCAGGGTCCAGTCCAGGGTCAGCAGTGACCAAGGTGCCCCCAAGTGCCTGCCCCCAGGGACCACATGTTCAGATGTGGGGAGCCCCGCTGGGACGCTGGGGGAACCTAGGGAACTGCCACTGGGGGAATTTTAGCTGTGTAACTGAACGCCAGAGGACAGGCTGAAAGAAAAGGGGTGTGGTCCTTGCTTTGCATTTTTTTAAATGGCTGCTGTGAGGGTGGGGTTGGGGGCAGGAAGGGAGCCATGAGGCCAGCAGGAGGCCACAGTGGTCTCTGGGTCGGAACTGGGGGGACTGGGAGCACTGTGGTTGTCATCAGCCTGCATGGGAGGGGAGGGCCCTGAGCAGGGAGTCTGACCTGGGAGGTGAGGGGCTCTGCTCTGGACCTGTTGGGACCTCCAAGGAAAGGTGGCCAGGAAGCTGGACATACCTAACTGGACCAAGACCCTCCCAGGCCGCTGCCCTACAGGCCTCGCAGGCCATCCCCAGCGGGTGCAGTGATTCTGACACCAGAAAAGGGCCTTGTGGCGGGCTGGCCCACCACCCGAGGGTCTCCAGGGCCCATGGCCCCACCAGGTGGAATCAAGCCCATCTGTGCCCTGAAAACCCACTCTCCTGAGTGGCTCCCACAGACACAGGCACTGACCTCGCCCCACTGGAGCCTCACCCTGACCCCACGCTCCTCTCCTGACATGGGCTGGGGTCTGTTGCCTTTGAAGGAAGTGACAAGGCAGTGAGGTCACCATCCCCTCCCCAGTGACGCACAAGCTGAAGGCCCAAAGTCTCCAGAGACACTTGCAAAGCAGGAAGGTGACCCCCGGGACTCACAGCTGCCCTGCGAGCGAGGTGGGGGCCACGGGGGCTGCAGGGCTCGGGGGCTGGCGAAGCAGTGCTTGCCCAGGAACTGCAGGGTTAATGGCTCGTTGCTGTCCACGGATCAGAAGTTCAGCAGCCCGGCCCAGCAACGCCAGGACAGTTCTTCCAGGCTGACTTCCAGCACACCCAGGGCAGCAGACACCTCCCAGATCCTGGAGGCCAGGGCCTTCACCTCCCTCACAACTCTTTGTCACACTGCAGGGACAGAGACACGAGGGACACAAGGCAGCCCAACCCGTCAGTCATTCCCCTCCATTCCGGGCATAAGAGGCCGGCCACCAGGACCACACCAATGCCTGACAGGGCCCCTCAGACAACCCCCAGCCCTCCCGAGGCAGAGAGGACAGGCCCCTCGGCCCCTGCCTGTGTGCAGCCCCCACCTCTGAGGACAGCCCCGCAGTGTCTGTCCATCTAGCCATACTGCCCTTCTGCCCCTCTCAGCCCCTCTGCAAGTAGGGTCACAGTGGCATCTACATCCCAGGGGACCTGGGGGCATGGCATGGGTTGGCATGCAGTGCCCCCAAGACCCAGCTCACCTGAGGCGGCCTGCTGGCACACACCTCTGCAGAGATGCCCAGGACCTGCAGGATATGCTCCTGCGGAACATCGCCTGGAGACTTCTGGATGAAATGCAGCAGCACTTTGTCACCACCTGGAGCAGCGGGCGGGCAGTCAGGGCACCCAAAGTCTGCCTGTGTCACCACCTGTAGTGACTGGCAGGCTGTCGGGACACCCTGGAGGCGGCCTGCATTTTGCAGCCATGTACTGGGAGGAGGGGGAGCGGGGCAGCCCTGGTCGGCCATGTCCCCCACCTGGCTACCCAGATGAGTGAGCTGTTCTGCCGCAGCCCCGCCCAGCCCAGCAGACATGCTGAACAGGCCAGCTGCAGAGGAGGGGCTGTGATGAGACTGACTAGCCAGAGGGCCTGGGCTGGGCCACCGAGAGCAGCAAGGCCCTCCCCAAGGCAGCGGCCGGGCCCTCCCTTAACCGACCTTTGCTGACCACCAGCAGCCCTCCACTCTGCAGCAGGTCCCCAGACAGGTTCCCCTGGATGCCAATAGCCTTGGCCTGCCAGGAGTGGGTAGAGCCTGGGTCAGACCCAGAGGGAAGGCCCCTGGGAACTCCCACCACCCCCGTCCTACACAGCCTTGGCCTGTACAAACCTTGGCAGCCACATGGTGCACGGGCTTCCCCAGGGCAGCAGGGAGGATACTCAGGCTGCTGTACCTGCGAAGACACCAGCACACTCAGCCAGATTCCAGAGAAGCCTGGGTCCAGAGCCTGCTCCAGGCCATGAGACCAGCTCCTAAGTCATGCCTCACCCCACCCTACCCACCCACCTCACCAGGTCTCAGAGATGGCACAGGCTGCCAGATCAGCAGCCAGCCCAGCCCACTGGCAGGTTGGACCGCAAGCCCAATGGCTGCTGGCCAAGGGCCCACAAAGGGTGCAGGGAACACAGATGGGGCCCCAGGCTGGGTGGGCCCAGGGATCTGGCTCAGCTGGCAGCTGCCAAGCAGGGGAGGTGGCCTGTGGCACAGACACCAGAAAGCTTGCATTGCCTCTGATGGGGTACCAGGCTCCACCCCCAAGATGGTCTGGACACGGAGAGCAAGATTTGGACGGAGGGCTCGTAACACCAAAGTGAAGGCCTGGCGGAAGGGCTGGTCGGCAGTGCCACCAGACCTGCCTTGCCCAGGAAGGCTTGAGGGGACAGCACCGCAGAGGGCAGCAGGGACAGGAGGTGGCAGGGAGTGGTGGGCACCCCCGGGTCCTCCACCCCACACTACCCCTTGGGTGCCCGCCCCACTCACCGCTTGAAGCCCAGTTCCTTATAAAGCTGCTTGCTCTCATCCAGATAGAGCTCTGGAAATCAGAAGGCTAGCCCAGACTCTGCTGCTGGGCCCAGGTCTTTGCAGGGCACCACCGGGCCACCAGCTGGGGGGCGGGGAGGCAGAAAGAGAGGAGGGACGCTGATCCGTGGGCATATCAAGGCCGCCCAGGAGACAGAAGGGCCGGGGCTTGGCAAGAAGGACCCGAACACACCGAGTTTAGAGAAGAGTCTCCGCGCCGCAGCGGCAGGAACAGGACGCACCTCCCGCGAAACAGCCGCTGTCCAGGAACTCCTGCAGACCCAGGGCCTCGGGCCCCACGCCCACCAGGCGCACGCCGTGCTGCTCCAGGAGCCCCGCGAGGCTGCCGAGGTCCCGGGCGATCCAGCGACACACCACGCACCCGAAGCGCCGCAGCCCGGCCACCACGCACGCGCGCTCCCGCCACAGGCTCCGCAGCTCCACGGCCTGCAGGGCTGCCAGGTCAGGGGCGCGCCCCGCCGACCCCGACCCCGCCCGGTCCCGCGGCTCCACCACTCGCTCGCTGCTAGGGCGCCCCCCGTCCTGCGCCCGCCCGGCCTCACCTCCCCGGTCACCGCATGCTTCAGGACACACGCACCCACGCGGGCAAGGTCCACAGTGCTCAAGGCGCCCGCGGCCCACCCTTTTTCAAGGTTCCCGGCTCCTGGCTCCCAGATCCAGCTCTAGGCCCCGCCCTGAGATGCCTGGTCCCGCCCCGAGATGCCATGGCCCCGCCTCTCGGGCTAGTCTCCGCCTCGTGCCCCGCCCCCAAGATGGCCGCGGCGCGCCGGGTCACAACCCCGGCCGCACCCTGAGACCCGCTCCGCCCCGTCGGATCCGACCCTTGTCCCGCCTGGTTTCCCCGCCCACTCCAGGCCAAGCCGGGAGATCGCAGCTCCAAATTCCGCCGCCGCCCGCTTGGATCCCTCCCGCCTCCTCACTCCCGGCCTGGCAGTCCCGCGTCTCGCATCCCGGTCCCGCCCCCGCGTCCCGCCCCCAGCCCCGCCTCCCCGTTGGGTCCCAAAGTTGGAAGGAAACGCCCACATCATTACATATGCGAGCCCGGCCTGCCCTCGGCGCAGCGGGCGGAGCTGGGCTGTGCGCGCCTGTGCTGAAGGCGGCTGGGGTCCGGCAGCGGGCTTGGCATAGTCCCGGGGAGTGACGGGGGACTGCGGGGGGCGGGCAGCGAGCTTGGGGTGATCCCGGGGGGGGCGGGGGGCGGCGGGGGGTGGGCAGCGGGTTTGGCATGGTCCCGGGGGATGGCGGGGGGCTCGGGCAGCGGGCTCGGGGTGGTCCCGGGGGTGGCGAGGGGCGGCGAGGCGCGGGCAGCGGCCTCGGGGTGGTCCCGGGGGGTGGCGAGGGGCGGGCAGCGGGGTCGGGGTGGTCCCGGGGGGTGGCGGGGGGCGGCTAGGGGAGGGCAGCGGGCTTGGCATGGTCTTGGGGATCAGGCAGCGGGCTCGGGTGGTCCCAGGGGCTGGCGGCGGGCTCGGGATGGTCCCGGGGGCGGGAGGGAATGGCGGGAGGCGGCGGGCCCAGGGGTTGTCCCGGAGCGGCTGGGGTGGCGTGGGGTGGTGGGACCAGGGGTGGTCCCGGGAGCGGCAGGGGTCTCCCTGCGGGCTCGTGTGTGACTGAGCTGGATCCAGGGTTGAGGGGAAGGGACGAGTGAGAGGTCGTGAGCTTGGGTGACTGCGGGGCGGGGATCCCAGCAGTGGGAGCCCGAGGGCTTAGCCTTTCCGTGTGGTCTGATTTTGGCTTGAAAATCCCCGCAAATGCAGCGGTATCTCAATTATACATGTACGAGTTGTCTTTAATAATAAAATGCTGTTCATTTCATGCCGGTTGCATATCAGCTGTAACCCCCAAACCTAGGGCAAAATGGACCCAGGGAGATAAGCACAGCTACCAGAAGTGCACCGCGGTCCAGCACCTGGCAGAGGCGTCCTGTTCCTCCCACTGCAGCCCTGTGACAGCTTTTATTGCCAAGTCACAGCTTCACCCAGGCTGGGCTCCCACCTGGGTGGGCCCAGCCTGGCAGAGTTTGATCTCCTAGCACTGGGCCTCACTCGCCAGGCTCCAGGACAGCTCTGGGCACCTGGACGGTCTGGAGAAGGAAGGGGGAGACCCCACCCTGTATTCCACAGGACCCCAAATAAAGGGGGGCCCAGGAGGGGTGCTGCTGCCTCCACCTATGCCCTTGCCCTGGGAGAGGGTGCTGGGGTGGTGACCGTCCAGACAGAACTGTTACTATGTCAGAAAGGGCAAAAGCAAAATAAAAAAGGGGAGGCACGTGGAGTGAGGAGCTGTGGCAGCTCCAGAGCCCAGGAGTGCAGCCCCCTGCTCCTGAACTGTACCGGGCTATGCAGGAAGGAGCCCCTCTGCCGTCTGGGGCTGAGCAGGAGGGGGCTCCTCTACCTTCTCAGGGTGTTCAGGAAGAGTCCCCTGCTGTCTCGGTCTATGCAGGAGGGGCTGCAGCCTCCTGGGAAGCTGGGATCCCAGATGTGATTCAGCCATTTTCAGAGACATCCCCAGAAACAAGAATGTGAGATCAGTTCTTCTCTTGGCATGTCCCACCAATGCCGTCCACTGCAGCAGCCTCACAGGAAGCCAGCGGGCAGAGGAGAGGGAAGGAGCTTGCAGCCTCCTGGCGCCAATGCTGCAGAGCAGAGGTGGCCAAGACGCTGAGAAGCCGTGTATGTGTCTGCATATGTAGGGGCTGAAAAACTCCACCTCCATCCTTTTGGGGTCCTGGCTGGGCCCAAGAGTTAAATCAAGATGAGACAGGTCATCATGCCAGTGTTTTTTGTTTTTTTGAGACGGAATTTCACTCTTGTTAGCCAGGCTGGAGTGCGATGGCCCGATCTCAGCTCACTGCAACCTCTGCCTCCTGGGTTCAGGCAATTCTCCTGCCTCAGCCTCCTGAGTAGCTGGGATTACAGGCACGCGCCACCATGCCCAGCTAATTTTTTGTATTTTTAGTAGAGACGGGGTTTCACCATGTTGACTAGGATGGTCTTGATCTCTTGACCTCGTGATCCACCCGCCTTGGCCTCCCAAAGTGCTGGGATTACAGGCTTGAGCCACCACACCCGGCCGCCAGTGTATTTGATTCAAGTTGGATGTGGCTTAGGAGCCCTCAGAAGGAAATGAAAACCCAGTGAAGCAGACTCAGTCACTTAGGGCCTGAACTGGACAAAGGGCAGTGAGGTTTGAGGAAGCAGCTGGCTGATATGGGCAGGCTAGAAAGGTGGTCAAGGACTGCATAGCACTCACCAGTCTCAGCTTCTCATCCTTGAGCATCAGAGCTCTCTAGTGTAGGGAGATCATCTTTCCCATAGGAATTTCCATCTTCTGCTTTTAAGAAACAGAGAAGAGATCAGAATGCTCTTTCTACACCTGTTTTTTTAACCTCCTCGAATTCCAAATAGTGAATATGCCAGAACAGCCTGTCTTAACTCCATGTACTGTACATATCCGGCCCACACAATTTAAAGTAAATAGACAGGTTTGCTTACTTTATTCTCAGGTGTAACACAAATCAGTGCAGACACCCTCAGGAGACAGCTCCTTCTACACCCATGTCGACTTTCTGTCATCAGTGACATGTTGGTCAGCTCTCTCGCAAGCCTCTGTCAGTCACAGCAACCAAGTTTCACCTCCCACTCATGTTTCTCGTCGGCCACAGGCTGGCTCAGCTCCTGTTGCCTCCTTCATTCTGGAGTCCAGGCTGAGCAAGCTTTGGCTCTCTGGAACACGCTGTTCTCCTGACAGGGAGGACATGGAGGGGAGATGGAGAAACCACAGCACGCTCTCCCAGCGACCTTGCAGAGCTGGGATATGTCACTTCCACTCGGATGCCACTGGCCAGAGCATGTCATGTGGCCAAGGAGGCTGTCTGAGGGGCAGGAAAGAATGCTTCCCCCTTGTGGGGGCGGTGTCAGCTCTGGGACTGGGTTTTAGCTTTCTTACAAAGGAAGAGCTGGCCCGTTACTGCATCAGGGAGCTGACAGAAGACATGAAACTCCAGGGTCAGAGACAAAGGACTTTGTCATTCACGGCATGGCAGACAGGTGCTCACCTGTGTGTTTGGCCTTCTCTCTTTGCCCCAAAGTTCCACAGGTATGATGTGGGTGGGTCTGGGTGGGCACTGCGCAGTCAGTGGCTTTGCATGGCCACTGAGGAGCCCTGCGGGGGGCTCAGCTGTTTGCAGCAAGCAGTGAGCAAGCTCCTCTTTGTCCCTAGGGGACTCTCAGGGCAGACCACCCTGAGAAATGGGGGAGGGTGCTCAGGGCCTGCATTCCTGGCACGCCCTGTGAGAGGTGGGGGGCGCGAGACGCTCGTGGAGGACTGCCCTAGACACAGGAGGTGCTGCCACTATGAGAGGCCGAAGGGATTCACCCTGAGATTTCACCAGCATCCCTGGGCTTCCTGGCGCCACATCCATGAAAACAGCCATCTCATTAAGCTTGTCCACTGAGGAGCCGTTGACGGTGAGAGGGTCTTAGTCTATTGAAGCTGCTATTTAGAAAAAACTACCATAGACTACATGGCTTCTAAAGACTTCTCACATTTCTGGAGAAGTCAAGGCACCGGCGTATTCCAAGTCTGTGGGTGACACCCCATGGGCACCGAGGAAGGAGAACTGTCCACACCCCAGGCACAATCAGTGCCTGAAGAATATCTTATAGTGTTATTACTGAGCTCTTTCCTTTATATAATCCTTTATATATAATCATGTATTAGTTTACAGTCAGAACAATTAGTGCCTGAGGTATAACTTACTGCTTACATATATCTAGCTTATATAATCATGCTTAGTACTTATATCTACTTAGTTCTATATAATTTTCTCTATAATCATATAGATATTGTAGTTGGAGCTGTACCGACACATTTAGTGCTGATTTATAGAATCCTTCTATATAACCATATAATAGTCTGTAGTAGGAGGAATGCCTAGAGCAGTCACAGAACAGAAGCAGCACATGGGAAAACAGGCAGACCAGGACGAGAACCAAAGACCCAGGTGGAGGCGTCCCTGCCTGAAAGGGCAAACACTGTATGGCAGGCTTGGAGCAAGAGCCTCTCCTGATAAAGGAGGTGTAGATGGCCCTTTAGACAGCATTTCCTGTTTCTAGTAACATGTTGATGAGTTTTTCTTTGATTTTTTTGGTGTTTTTTTTTTTTTTTTGAGACAGAGTTTCGCTCTTGTTACCCAGGCTAGAGTGAAATGGCGCGATCTCAGCTCACCACAACCTCCCCCTCCTGGGTTCAGGCAATTCTCCTGCCTCAGCCTCCTGAGTAGCTGGGATTACAGGCACACACCACCATGCCCAGCTAATTTTTCATATTTTTAGTAGACACAGGGTTTCACCATGTTGACCAGGATGGTTTCGATCTCTTGACCTCATGATCCACCCGCCTCGGCCTCCCAAAGTGCTGGGATTACAGGTGTGAGCCACCACACCCGACCCAATGAGTTACTTTTAAACTGTCTACTGACACCCATATCTTGACATCTGAGGTTCTGTTCTGTTGACTCTGTTTTCTTTTTCTGTTTTGTTTTATTTTGGCTTTTTGTTTCGTTTTGAGATGGAATGTTGCTCTTGCTGCCCAGGTTGGAGTGCAGTGGTGCAATCTCCGCTCACTGCAACTTCTGCCTCCCAGGTTCAAGCCATTCTCATGCCTCGGCTGGGATTATAGGCATGCGCCACCAGCCTGGCTATTTTTGTATTTTTAGTAGAGACTGAGTGTCTCCATGTTGGTCAGGCTGGTCTCGAACTCCCAACCTCAGGTGATCTGCCCGCCTCGGCCTCCCAAAGTGCTGGGATTACAGGTGTCAGTCACTGTGCCCGGCCTGTTCTCTTTTTTTTTTTTTTTTTTTTCTTGAGACAGACTCTTGCTCTGTCACCCAGGCTGGATTACAGTGTTGTGATCTTGGCTCACTGCAACCTCCACCCCCTTGGTTCAAGTGATTCTCATGCCTCAGCCTCCCAGATAGCTGGGACTATAGGCTTGTGCCACCACGCCTAGCTAATTTTTTGTATTTTTAGTAAAGACAGGGTTTCCTCATGTTGGCCAGGCTGGTCTTGAACTCTTGACCTCAGGTGACCTACCCACCGTCGCCTCCTGAAAGGCTGGAATTACAAGTGTGAGCCACCACACCCGGCCAGCCTGTTTTGATGGTTGCACACACCTTCCTGCCTCTTCTCATGTCTACATCTTGATTCTAGCCCTGGGCCCTGCAGAGGTTAGAGGGGCTGTGCCCAGGACAGAAACGCACGTATGTGCGCACAGATGGGTCACTGTGAGGATGTGGGGAGATCACAGGACCTGAATCAGACTGGAGCTTGCTCAGATGCTGGCTCTGGCACCGCCCAGCTGGTCACCACAGGTAAGTCACCGCCCTGTCTCACCCTCGGTTTCCTCATCTGTA